ACGCACACGCACACGCACACGCACACGCACACGCACACGCACACGCACACACACACACACACACGCACACGCACACGCACACGCACACACACACACAGACACACAGACACACAGACACACAGACACACAGACACACAGACACACAGACACACAGACACACACACACACACACACACAGACACACAGACACGCAGACACACAGACACACACACACACAGACACACACACACACACACACAAACCAAATTTTGCATTGTCACCCACCCAGTACAGCGTCTCGTGGCCCCATAGGGAGCTCCACCGAAGCCCCTAGTGGGACCGCCCGCATGCGTCCCACACATTCAATGTTGCATTTTCACCTACCCAGTACATCGCTTCGTGGCCCCATAGGGAGCTCCACCGATGCCTCCAATGGGAGCGCCCGCATGCGTCCCCCACACCCAATTTGGCACACACAAACACACACCACACGTTTCGTGGCCCCATAGAGAGCTCCACCGAAGGTCCCAGTGCCACCACCCGCATGCGTCCCCCACACCCATTTCGGAACACCCCTCACACGTTTCGTGGCCCCATGGGTAGCTCCACCGAAGGCCCCAGTGCCACCGCCGACATGCGTCCACCCCGCCCAGTACAGCGCTTCGTGGCCCCGTAGGGAGCTCCACCGACGGCCCGAGTGCTACCGCCCGCATGTGTCCCCCCCACCCAGTATTGCGCTTCGTGGCCCCATAGGGAGCTCCACCGAAGGCCCCGATGCTACCGCCGCATGCGCCTCCCCCCCCCCCCAGTGCAGCGCATCGTGGCCCCATAGGGAGCTCCACCGACGGCCCCAGTGGGACCGCCCGCATGCGTTCCCCCCACCCAGTGCAGCGCTTCGTGGCCCCATAGGGAGCTTCACCGAAGAAGATATTCACAATTGCGGTATTCGGGTCCTTCGCCCAGATAATTGTAAATATTTTTGAATCTGTTTGGAGCGTTTTTTATTCGCCCAATATCCGCCTGTAGGAGGGCATGCCCGACCGAGGCGCTCGGAGGTCTCTGGGCGCCTCGGGGGCCCTGCAAGGTAGTCGGAGGGACTGCGCGGAGGGCGCGAGGCCAGGACCTCCGGAGTGCAGCTTACTAATCCTTGGCTGGTGGGGAAATCCGGCGTCCCAGGCAGTTAACACTTGAGCAGATGTTCGAAATACGGGTCCCCAGACCTCTCCAATCCTTCCTCGCCGTCTCCTTCTTTTCAGTGTCGCCTGATGGCTGGGTCTGGCATCGGGATCCGTCGAATCCTGCCCACGCGGCGGTTACAATGCACTGGAGATGGCGTCCTGGCCCGTGGGTGCTGCTGGCCGCTGCGAGGCCCCATCTTTTCGGGAGTTCCTCGGAGGTTCGCCTTCAAGAGCATCTGAGGATCTTTTGTCGGAAAGGGGACCCATACCGCTACCCTTCGCCCGTTTTCCCCTCTTTGGGCCTCCTGGGAGGCCCTCGTCGCCACCGCTGAATTCGCTTCGAAATCCTGGTCAGAACGCACCCCGGGAGAGGTCCGGGGAGTAGCGGTATCGGTACCTTTTTATCTCTTCATTTTTCATCAACAACAGCGGAACAACAGAAATGTAGTCTCCTTGCCGCTGCCATCGCGATCGCTACGGGCAGCCCATCTGTACTCCTAAGCAGAGCGGATGTGGATGTATAGTAGTCCGAGCGTAGTTCGCGCGTGTGCATTGGCCGAGGCCCCACGGAAGTGGCGCTGCCATAAGGGTTGGCCAGTTTCGCCCGCCGCTTCCAATCTCCTCCCCTCCTAATTATGCCGCTGCCGTCGCGCGTTTGGCGCGTTGACTGGCGATTGGCTCGTATCTGGCGAGGAAACGTGAGCCGCCAACCCCCAACAAAAACTGGCTCCTGGACGGCCCAAGATGTCCTCAAGACGACACAAGAAGGCCCCAAAGACGCTCCAAAATGCCTCCAATAGAACCCCCTCGAGGGCCCCGAGCGGCAAACATCGCCCCATTCCTCGGGAAAATCGTTTTTATCTTTGGCATACGTATTCATTATGTTGTCCCACCAGCGTCCAGAGAGGCCCCCAAGAGCGCCTCGAGGCTGCCGAAGAGGCGCGCAAGACGGCCCTAAAGTGTTTCAAGAGGCCCAGATAAGGCCTCCCAAACGTCCCCCGAACGGCCCTCCGATCGCCCAAGGTGGCCCCTGGAGCATCCCGGCGGCCCCGAAGAGGCCCCCGGAGTCCCCTAGGAAGCCTCCAAGAAGCCTCCAAGAGGCCCCCAATGCAAGCCCAAGTGGCCCTCACGAGTCCCCTGAGCGGCCCCTGTAGAGACTACACGATATTTCTTGCACGCCTGAAATTGAAGGCATACAAACACTCGGCCCCCCACCCCTCATCCTAATTCGCCTCCTCCTCCTCCTCCTCCTCCTCCTCCTCCTCCCCTTTTCCTCCTCCTCCTCCTCCTCCTCCTCCTCCTCCTCCTCCTCCTCCTCTTCTCTCATCCTTACATACGCCTCCCACCCCTCAACACCCTTTTCTCTCTCACTTCGCATCTTCTCTTTCTTTCATGCGCCCCCCTCCTTTCATGTCCACCTTTCTTCCGCCTTCTCTCCCATCCAGCCCTATTTCGTGCTCAATCCTCGTGCGTACCTTCCTGCCGTCCCCTCTTTTCTCCCACTTCCTCCTTCTCTTGCCTCCTGCCCTCTACCTCGTACTTTCGCCCTCCTGCCCCTTCCATCCTCCCCGCCTCGGTGATCCCGCTGTTATTCCTCCTTCCTCCGCCTTGCCCCTCCTCGTCCATCTCCTTTTCACTCTGCATCCATCTGCCCTCCCTCTAACTACCCTCATCCTCCTCCAGCTTTCTTCTACGCCTGCCTCCTCCCTCCGTCGTCCCTCTTCCTCACTCCCTCCTCCATTTTCAGCTTCCGCCTTTTCCTGCCTTCCTCCGCTCTACTCGTCCTCTATCTTACCTCCTGGCACCACTGTTTTCCATCCAAACACGGGAAGCCCGACCCCAGGGACCCCGGGCCAGAGTACACACGGGGCACTCTGCAGGGCCCCCTAGGTGGCGCCTCTCCTCTGGGGGCTTCCCCAGAGCCTCCCCCGAGCTTCCCCAGAAGGGTCCCGGAGCTGTGCAAAAGTTCCAAGGGGGCCCCCCGATGGTCTCCCCAGGCTGCCCCAGAAAGTCTCCAGCAGCACAATGAGGCCCCAAGAAGCCGCCACGGTGCC